GAGATGGTGTCCACGGTGTCCAGACACTTCCTATGGGAGTGTTGTAGAGAAGAGATGGGTGACAGTGCCACACCTGTGTGTCCCTCAGACGTCCTCCTGCCCACTGCTTCTGTTTGAAAAGTGGGGTTTGGACCCTAACGGGACACGTGTAGGCTACCAGAGGTTACTCTCTCCTTTGCATCGCCCCCTACGCTAGTAGAGAGCCATGAGAAGCACATCCTGTGGTTCCTGTTTGTTCTTACCGAATTGGTCCTGCTGCAGGATGATGCTCTAGTTTAATTCCCTGTCTTTATCTGAATTTCCCTATCTCCTGGCTTGTGCTGAAGCCAGAGAGGATTCCAGTAAAATCCCAGCCTCCTTCCCTTCAGGACAAACCGTGTTCCAGTTCTCAAGGTTGTCCAAGGGACAGACCGACCTGAAGAGTCAAGTGTCAGGGCCTCTGGAGAGCGGCCTTCCTCTTGTCCTCCAAGGGCAGTTGATGGCTTAGAGCTCTCTTCAGGCATCCTGAGGCAGGGCAGAGAGGAGCCACAGAAGGATCAGAAATTCTGATTTAGGGGTGTTGGGGAGATGGCTCATGAGATTAAGAGCTCTGGCTGCTCTTCCAAGGGACCCGGGTTCAATTCCCAGCACCTACATGACAGTTCACAGCTGTCTGTAACTCCAATTCCAGGGAATCTGACACCCTCGTAGACATACATGTAGACAAAGCCCAATTATGTATATTAAATAATTAAAAGATAAACTTGGGTTCGAGTTCTTCCTCAGCAGGGTCTGAACCCATTGCTCATATTCTCTCTCTCAGAACTGAGTTCTGTGGTCTAGTCCCCTGCTTCTGTGCTCTCCTTCAGATGATTCCTTTTATCTTGATGAATTAAGAAAATTCTCAAAAAAAAAAAAAAAAAAAAAGCTGGGCAGTGGTGGTGCACACCTTTAATCCCAGCACTCAGGAGGTAGAGGCAGGCGGATCTCTGTGAGTTTGAGTTCAGCCTGGTCTACAGAGCGAGTTCCAGGAATGACTCCATAGCTACTGAAAAATCCTGTCTTGAAAACAACCAAATAATAATAATAATAATAATAATAAATAATTTTCTGAAGAAGTGGGGTAGCAACCAATAAGATTCACCTACTGGACTGCCATATCAGAGAAGAGATGGAGTTATATGAATGATATTGGCCTTTTTATTTGGTTTTAAATTGTCATTGAAATTAAAAATGCAAATGGGTGGTTTCCCCACCTCCTTTGGACCTCATGTCTTGTCACCTGGAACATTATCTCCATATTCTTGGGGAACACAGAGAAACTGAGAGTCATTAGGGTATAGTGAAGCAGTAACAAGGCGTTGATGTGGAGAATGGGCAAGTATAGTTAACTAAGATTCCCCTGGGGGTCAGCATGGGAAGCCGGCTAGCTTTAGGACCCTGAGGAGACAGAGTGTCCGTGCTGGTCTCTGGGGGAATTATCTCTGTGGGATAAGGGTTTGGCCAGAGCCACTGCACGTCTATCTGTCCCTTTGTCCGTAGCCTTGCCTGCAGTCCTGTCATCTTGGTGGCTGCTGGGGAAGGTCAAAGTGGCTGAGTGGCTACCAACACCGGAGACTGCGAGTGTGTCACGGTCTTTATTATTGCCAGCATGGCTGCCCCGTATCTGGCCATCCACTGGTCAACGGTTGCCTCCATGAATTTCCCAGATTCAGCCAAGTTGAAGTGCCTCTCTGCAACGCAGTCACGGCCAGTGTGTCGCTGCCTTGACTTACATCCCAGGGGGGTGGAAGAGGAAGACTAAGCCCATCATTGGCCCTTGGCCATATGGGCTGCCGAAAAAAGAGAGCGAGGGAGGGGCGCCCCCATGCTGCCTTCCAAGGGAGCTGGTCTGATTTTAAGAGGTCTTGGCTAAATAAAAGGGGAGAGCAAAGAACGAAGGCAGAAATAAGAAATAGCACAGATCTTAGCTCCTGACCAGTTTGCCAGCAGTTTCAGGAGCAGATCTGAGTTCAGGGTGTACCTGCTGCGATTTCCAGGCTCTTGCGTCCAGAAGAATAAATTGGACCAGGTACACATAGTAATAGAAATAGAGCTGGTGTATCAAACAAGGAAAAAGGCCCTCCAGAAGGTGGGAAGATATGCTCAGAAGTCCAGTGCCATGGAGTTCTGATCCTTTTAGGGTGTTTACATAGAACCTGCCTTTCCTGTATTTGTATATTGTGGGCATTTTTCAACATGCTATGTTTGTTACATGCGACCACATGATGCTTCTTCCTGTGCAAATGGACACCTACATGATCCTACATGATTCCTCAAGCGTCCGCTGATCTCCAGACTTAGACTGTGACACACATGCTCCCCCCATAAAAGCATATTAGTTTTTTAATTGGTAAAGGAGTCGAATATGTTCCTAAGGAAAATAATGAAATCGCTGATGAGTGCTGAGCAGTCGCCCGGCCCGTCAGAACCACAGTGAGGCACCACCTCCACCCTCACAGACCTACGGACACTGTGGATG